AGAATTACTTCGTAAAAAAAGATTGATCATGTCAAGTTTAAAATATATTACACAAAGAAATTTAATCATTGGTTAAATGAAAAAACTTTAAAATATATTAAATAAACACGATAACAGTAGATTATCATCTCCAAAATTTATAATCATCTGATAATAAACAAAGCTCTAAAATGAACGGGAATATCGTGTGATAATTTAAACAACATTTTTATTCACACTTTGTTCGATGTTGATATTTTGGTTCATATGATTTTTTTTTTTTTTTTAATACCCTTTTGGAGGGACGAAAAAGCTCGATTGGGCTGAAAGATAGTTATCGGTTCAAGGATACGAGGTGCTCGAGAAAGGAAAGATTCCCTTTGTTAGTCACTTTCTTACTTTGAAGCTGCCCTTTTGTCTTTCTCGTTATTTCTATCGCTTTGTCCAAACATTTTTCATCGTGTTGCCATGGCAGTTCTTGGTTTCCTCGCCGTTAATGGAACCCCAGTTCGCCGGCGGTGGGTTTTCCGATGGCCAGAGTGAAGCATATCAGCACCATACTTCCAATACATGACCTGCAACAGAACGAACACCATTAACAGCCTGAATTTGGACGACATGGGTTTGTAATTTAAGAGGAGATTTTAACTTACACAGTGGCAAAGAAGAGAAGAACTTTCTTGGGATCCAAAAACCAGGACGAAGAAGACCTCCTGAAACTGTTTCTTCGAAACAGAGCATGTTCATCCGCCGCCGCCGTGTTGCTGGTGGTTATAGTGATTTGATGATGAAATTGTTGAACACCCAGATGGTCTTTTGCAGACCCAACTACCAATGCCACCTCCGCCGCCGTTTCCGCCGCTGATTTTTCCGCCATAGGAGCGGAACTGGTAGCAATCATCATATCGCCGCCACGCTGAGACACTTTTCGAGATAGATTACTCTGCAACTTTAATTCATTTCAGGGAATCAAAATCCTCTTCAGAATTCGAAAAATTTCATCAAAATTGCAAAGAAAACTTAAATTTTCTGGGGATTTTTCGTTCTTCCAATAGATTAACTTCCGGGAAAGAACCGAATTCCGACACGAAATTGAAAGCAAAACAGAGCAAAAAAACAGAGCAAAAAACAGAGCAAAGTCAATGAAAGGAGATCGATATCAAAATCAAAGCTGAAGAACACTCACCAATTTGGGATTTTCCATCACTTTCTCGGGAAAGAAAATGAATTGGGCGAGAAAAAGAGGCTCTGTTCTTCGTGAAGAATTCCGCAGCTGGGTATTTCAAAACAGGGTATCAGTTTGTGGGTAGAAACAAGAATGGCTGAATATCAAACAAGAACAGAGACAGAAACAGAGTAACCAACCTGGAACTGCAGAATTTGGTTGAAAAATTATCAGAAACTACCTGATTTGAGAACTGATTTGTTCATATTTATAGACGAAGAGAGATTAATTAATATCAAACGAGATTAAATGGTTGATTATTGGTAATAATCATTATTCAATTAAGTTGAATAATGGCTTGCATCCAATTGGCACCCATTTTTTAATTACAAAGTTGTCAAGTTTGAAATCATTATTTAATTATATATATAAAAAAGAAAGAGACATCTGTGGATGACATGTGTACATATATTATCCATGTGTACATATATTATCCATGTGTACAATTACTCCAATTTTAAATTTTTTAATTCAAATAATCTTTATTAAATAATTGTTCATCATTAATTTAAATTTTTATTTTAATAAAATGTAACCCGTCTTTCGAATTTTTTTTATTAGTGATGAATAACTATAGTGAAAAGTCATATCCCTTTAATTAATAAGATCCAAAATGTTTATCAATCTCGGGAAGTGAAAATCTATAATAGATATATAGAGGTTATTGTCGGTAAAATAACATAAAAAGATGTTGGTTTAAAAAAAATGATAGAATGAAAGTTGGGTTATGTTAATCGAGTTTTACGAGTTATGAGCTTTTTTGGGTTATTTTAATCGAGCTTTACGAGTTACTAGATTTGAACGTTCGCATTACAAGGTCATGGACTTAAACGTTCCCATCAAAAGGTCACATCATCAAAAGGTCGAGTCGTTACACATCTAACAAACTCGATTATCTTCCGACGATAACTCCAATAATTAATCAAATTTTTTATTTATGACAACAAATGCCAAATAATTATATATAAATATATGTATATTAGAAGAATAACTTAATTATTCACAAATATTTAAAATTTGGTACATTATTATTAGAATTAAAAAAGTATTATTAAATTAGTTTTGTATGCTTCATTAAAACACAATATTTTATTTGGTATAAATTTAATATTCTATTAATTTTATTTAATAATGATTGAATAATATATTAAGTATGGTTCAGTAATGAATAGTTCTTTAATTCTATATTGACTAAAAGAATTCTATACATACATACATATACATATACATATATATATATATATATATATGATCTCATAATATCTTAGAATCATAAAGGTCAACCCTTGGATGTCCAATTGGAATAGAGTTTGACTTTTATTTGGTAAGCTTCCTCAAGAGAGATTGCTTTAATTGCAATTGAATTACAAAATTGGCAATTGGATTTGACTTTGAATAATTATAATGAAGAATACAATTAAGAAAAAAAAAACGAGTTAATTAAACATGAGGTTTAGTTATATTCCTATTTTATTATATAAAACTATTGAGCCCGAGCTGTTACAAATGATATAGAGTCAATCAGGGGACAGTGCGAGACACTAATCGAAGTAGGGCTAGACCCTCTCCATAATAGACGCTAGCCGTGGACTTGGGCAAGAGAAAGCTCAAACAAACAAACAAAAGTCCGAAGCCACTGAAGAGAAATATTTCGTTTCTCTCTCCAACCGATGTGGGATCTCACAATCCACTCACCTTGGGAGGTCAACATCTTCATTGCCATATTACTCGGTGTTTGGCTTTGATACCATTTGTAATAGCCCGATACCACCTTTAGTCCGTTACGTATCGTCGTCAGCCTCACAGTTTTAAAGCACATCTGCTACCGAATGTTAGAGAATTTTCGTATAATTTGAAAGGCCGTCTAATTTATAATATTTTAGAGTATGGTCATGGGAGGGCACATGATGGATGAGAACGTAGGAAATCAAGCCGCATGTCATGGAGATTCATTAGCCTTTTCTCTTTGTATTGGGATCATACGACGTCGTATCCCCTAATTTCCTAACTTTAAATTGATTATTCAAGCAATTTATTAAGTTAAAGATTCATAACGTTAATCATTGCTATGGGTTTGACTTTTTGAGTCATTTGGATAATGTGAATTGAATTGATTTTGGGATTAGGAATCAAAGTAATTAATTATTATACGTGGGTTTCAAGTAATTCTTTCATTAATAATTCAATGTTTGAGTCGTTAAAGTTAACTTTATGACGAACAATTTGAATATACTTCAACGTTCGGTAATCTTATTAGGTATAATATAGAACTTTTTGTTTGTTTATTAATTCAATTTTAGTCCATAAATCTCGTTTAATAATCATTTAGACTATGTTCGATAACCATTTGGTTTTTTAAATGAAGTTTGTTTCTTATGGTTCATGAACTTGACTCGAAAACCTTGATCAACCCAGCCCAACTCGTACGGTTTGGGTTGGGTTGGATTCATATAAATAAAAATTTCTGTAGATTGAGTTGGTTTATGAGTTACCTTGAAATTAGACGGGTAGAATCAAACTATTGAATTTATTGTTAATTTTAAAAAAATATATTTCTTCTTACGATATAATACATTATTAATTTTTCAACCCCTTGAAAAAAAGTTATTTTTTCTATTTGGAAGATTATTTTTTAAAATATGTATTGAAATTGAATTAGTAAATTAAATGTTTAAAAGTATGAATAAATAATTTCAACAAATAAAACGGTATGATATTGTTCATTTTGAGAATAAGTTATCATGATTTTACGTTTAGTTTTCTTAAAATAAACTCATACTAATAGAAATAATGTCTCTGAATTATATACCCATGACCTTCCCATTAATTAATCAATGTAAGACTCTAGCAATCTTCAATACCCGACATTTGGCAAGCACATTTTCCATGTCAATAAGGGATCAAAATAACAACAATGACATTTTTGATGATTGATAGTCGCCTTCTAGCAATTGAATAAAGCGGGTTCTCTTGAAACTAAAATCTCGCATTATTTCTCTTCGAAAAAAGTGACGCATCTCACTTTATACATCCTGAATCTTTGATATACTAAAAAATTGGTGCATCAATTAATTTAGACATTGTGAGATCTCACATCAGTTAGTTACGAGAAGAAAACATTTTTTTATAAGAATGTGAAAATCTCTCCTAGCAAACACCCTTTAAAAATCTTGAGTCGAAGCTCAAAAGTGAAAGTCCAAAGAGGACAATATTTGCTAGCGGTGAGCTTGAGCACATCGCAAACATTTGACAACTGAGCACATGAGTTGTTGCAGACATCCTAGACAGAGCGAGAATCCTCCCAACATTTACTGGCGGGTGGGCTTGAACGTTTGGGCTTTTACACACTGTAACAGCTCCGATCCACCGCTAACATCGGTTGTCCTCTTTGGGCCTTCCCTTTTGGGCTTCCCCTCAAGGCTTTAAAAAACGTCTGCTAGGAGAAGGTTTCCACATTTTCCCTTTTGAGCTTCGACTCAGGACTTTAAAAGCTTATACTAGGTTTCCACGCCCTTATAAATGGTGGTTTGTTATCCTCCCCAACCAACGTGGGACATCACACACACATCCCAGATTTAAGGTCGGAGATTCTAATTCTCACAAACTCGGACTTAAAGCACCAACTTTTTTCAAAATCAAACACGAGAATAAATCGATTGCCTAACCAAAACAATCCCACCTTTTTATTCTTTTCTTTCCTCTTCAAAAATCTCCCAACCAAGATATTCATATTCCCTTTACATGATATATATATATATATATATATATATACACTAAAACTCCCCCACAAAAGTGATTCTGTTCATCCCCATCAACCCAATTGCCACCCTTTGATCCTAAAAAATGCATAGCCCCAGCCAATTGCCAGTGCACCACACCAACACGCCCGAACACCGCCCAATCAAGCGCCACCACACAGCGCGCTACTACGTTCACCGTGTCAAGGAGAGCCTCACCACCCGCTTGTCCAAGCTCATATGCGCCATCTTCTTAAGCTTGTTGCTGATTGTGGGCATCATTACGTTTATTCTCTGGCTCAGTTTACGACCCCACCGGCCCAGGTTTTTTATCCACGACTTTTCGGTTCCCGGTTTGGGTTTGGAGACCGGGTTCGAGAATGCCCAGATTGCGTTCAATGTCACGGCTCGAAATTCGAATTTGAATATTGGGATCTACTACGGTTCGATTACCGGTTCGGTTTATTATAGAGACCAGAAAATTGGGTCGACGCCGTTGCTGGATTCGTATTATGAGGCGCCGAAGACTACTAAGGTGTTGGCGGCGGTGCTGAGCGGCGCGACGTTGAATATCAATAATGAACGGTGGATGGAGTTTAATAATGACCGGTCTAAAGGGACCGTGGCTTTCCGGTTGGAGATTACGTCCACTATCCGGTTTAGGATATCCACGTGGGATAGTAAGCGCCACGGTATGCATGCTAATTGTGACGTGTCGGTGGGCCCCGATGGGATGATTTTGCCTTCTTCCAGGGATGTGAGATGCCCGGTTTATTTTACCTGATTTTCATGACATATTTACTATTGATTGACCTAACACTTTAATGTTTTTTTTTTATTTTTTTATTTTTAATTTTAATTATTGAATTTGAGATTGGGATTGTAAATTTGTTGGATTAATCATTGGTTGGTGTGTTTGAGAAGTTTAATCGTTCAATAATTTTATGATTTTCATCGACAAATCAGATTGTAATTTTATACTTTTACTATTCAAAATAAAGTCGAAGAAAAATTGCAGAAACTATTGGATCGGATTAGGGTTTCACTTATGAGTTTGTGATATGAAACTGACCGTAAATGAATTACCAAAAAATTAAATGTTCGAGGATTAAAATTGTAAATTAACCTTCTTTTTACTCGACAAAAAAAAAAAAAAAAAAAAAAAA